AGCCTTGGAGTCCACTCATAAAATAATAGCACTTTCTCTCTTTGGAGAGTTAAACTGTCATACTACTTTGCCTTAATAATTTTAGTTTCCATTTTAAAAACTATTGATATATTTTTGAGTTGATGGGAAATAGAAAATGCGTCTCTTTTTCTTGATACCCCAGTCCTATCTTTGATTGAAAGAGTTCATGTGTCCAAAGTATGTCATTTTGTATGGAACTGTCTGATTCTTTATGAGAAGGACAAGCCCACTGGCCTGAAATTACAATGGATTTCATGCCTCTGAGCACCTATATGGAGTCCGTTCCAATGTACAGGGTTGTGGCATCTCCTGCAGGTTTGAAATGAACCTTCTAGAAATGAATTGCACGTTTTAATTGCAGTAAATACATGGAATTTGGGTCTCTGGTTCAGCCCACATTGAAGCCACCAACATGGGACTTTTATAATAATAGTAATAGCAAAAGACACCTGGCCTTGAACCAATATTACAATAATATTTTTATATAACAGCGACTTTCCCCTAATGGTAAACATTTTCTCTAGCTGTAGTGGGATGGAAGCCTCTAACCCAACTTCATTTCTCTGCTTCACAATTTAAAATGTGAGTCCCTCCATCCTACATTGTGGATCTCCCATGACTGGGGACCTGGATGGGGCTGTTGGGATGCTGAGAGAGAATTGTGAGGGCTGGAGAAATTTCTCACAGAGCTGTGAGCTCATTGTTAAAGAAGCCCATGTGTGCTCTCTTTTTTATTTCCTCAGTGGTCTCAGGAATGGCCTCTTTTTATCTCGTCTTGTCTGTTGCTGCTCATGAAAGTCTCTCCACCTGAAACCACGGAGGAGTTCAATACCGGCTTGGTTTTCTCTTATTCTTTGTCCCTAAGCACGCTCACAGCTGTCTGTGGAGTTTTCTCAGAAGGCTAGACCACCCTTGCCTGCATCAGCCCGCCCACTGTTACCCACCTTGGCCTCGGAGGAAGCTCAAAGAGCAAACTTCCAAAAGAAAACCCAGGCTCTGCTGGGCATTTCATCCTTGGCTCTGCAATAGGTCAGGTAAAGGAAGCCCAAAATATCCGAGTGGATAGACACATCCTTGTTTTTAGCAACTCGCAGTCTATTAGTGACCTTGACAGGAGCGGCCTCAGAAGAAGAAAGGGTCAAAAGCAAGATTAGAGTGGGTTCAAGAGAAAAATGGGAAGAGAGGAACTGAGACAGGAGGTCAGGGCAGTTCTGAGGTTTGGCCCTGCAGACAGTAGCTGCAGCAGTAGACGGAGCAGGGTGTGGGGTCAGAATGTTTCTCTCTCTCAGGGTTTGGGTCACTACAACACACTTGTGTGCGGAAGAGCATGGTCACATGAAGAAGGAAGCCTTTGCGAACTGGGCAGAGGGATGTCCTGGGACATACACGGAAGCGGGGGGGTGGTGCTCACGGTGAGCCATCCTCGGGCTGGGCGGAGCGGGGTCTCACCGAGGGGGGCGGTGTGTGTGCCGGTCACTTCTCTCCCTTTGCTTCGTGAGCAAGTTCAGTGGGAGTGGAGGAGATCGTGCTGGGGTTTGGAAAGAGAGGAGATGTGAAATAGTTCTCTAGGAGAACGGAGGAGCGTGTAGAGTAGGGGCTTGTCGTGGGATTATGGTTGTTCTTGAAGTTCATAGTCATGAATTTCAGCAAGACCAGAAAAGGAAGGAGTTCGTGTGTGACCTTGGACATACTGTGTGCTAAGGTAGTTTGCACAGGTGTAGTGCCTGCTCTCCAAAGTCATGGGGGGGATTAAATGTTCAGAAAGCCTTTTGAAAATCAATTCTTGACCAGGCTGGTGTGGCTCGATGGATTGAGCGTCTGCCCCTACACCAAGAGGTCAACGGTTCAATTCCCAGTCAGGCACATGCCCAGGTTGTGGGCCTGATACCCAGTGGGGGGCATGCAGGAGGCAGCCAATCAATGTTCTCTCTCTCTTTCCCTCTCCCTTCCTCTCTAACATCAATAAAGAAAAAATATATATATATACACACACACACACACATACATATATATATGTATATTTAAAATCACTTCTCAGCTTTTGGGCTAAGATCAAGTATAAAGAAAGCATTTTGGTATTAAGTACAGGACATTGGTATTATGACACTTAGCTTTGAATTACTTAGCACTTTTCTTTGGCAGAAAGCTTTTCAGATGTCTTGAAGATACCCTCAGTATCTCTGCAGACAGCATTTGACTTCTGGCACTGATTTACGTGGTAAGTAAGTCTGAGCGATGACCTAGCCTCCTGCTTTTACTTCTCAATCCATAAAATGAGGGTGGTAATGCTTAAAGTGCGACAAATGCTTTATAAATAAAGGTGCTATATAAGTACAAGCCATTAATAAAGTGGTATTTCAGCCCAGACTGTTATGGTCACCAGTGAGTCAGAAAGGTTGGAGCATCTGACAAAGCCCTGAGTCTCGGGTGGTAGATGCCTCCCTTGAAAAGCTTTCAAAGGAGGAAGGAAAAGGCAAGTACTGTATCTTAAATTAGGTTTCACCCACATTATCTTCTTTAATTTTCACAGCTGCTCTGTGAGGCTGATTATTAGACCCTGAAATCCAAACAGATTACGTAACCCCTGAAAGCCAAGTGGTAGAGCTCAGATTTCAACCGAGATCGACCTTAAAAATCCCATGTTCTTCTGACTTTGTCACATGTGGAGTTGAACTGATAGCCATAGAAGGTACAGGCTAACATATATATATAATAGACCCACATGTTGGCCCATTTAATCTCTTCCCTGCCATCAGATGTTTGACTGGAGCTGCCCAGTAGCAGAATAAACTGAGTGATTGTAGATGTCATCATAATAGAGTCACTGACAAGTGAAATGACAAGACAAGACAGGAACATCTGGGTAAAGGAGCAGTAAGCTGACTAAAAATTTGCACTTTGCAACCAATGCGGTTTTCAAGCACATTTTGGGACGAAGGGTGGGTGCTAGGAAATAAGTCAGTGTGTGTGGCCATGTACCTACAGGAACCCCTGTCCACTCTGCCCTTTACTGTCAGGACACGCACCTTAGAGGCCAGAGCACGGACTGCTCTGGTAGCTTCTGGTTCTGAGTAACAATTACCCACTCAGAGTAGGAAGATAGAGAAGGTGATAGGAAAAGTATTTGCTTCCAACAGCTAAAGGGTGATCATAGTTCTGAAATGTGTTGAGGTTGTCCGGGAAAGTGTGTAAAATGCTCATCCATCACCGGAAGACCCTGGCCAGGAGTGACAGTGCAGTAAATATCCTCAGCAGCCACCTTCTCCTGTACAAGCTGTTTTCGGTCGGAATTTTCAGCACTCACATAAAACACACTGTCATGAGTGACTGCCTGTGCTCCGGAGTCATTACTGTTGGGGTAATGGAACATCTCTCAGCGAATAACCAAAAAACTTTAAATGTCAAGTCAAGTTTGTTGAAGCCATTTCAAGCCCCGTTCAAGGTTACATGAATATTGAGGGTGTCTGTTTTTTCACAGTTTGAGGCCTATGAGAGAGATCACTCATAAGACCGTGCAGTGTGAGAGTCAGTTAATTAAAGGAAAATCTCGTGTTCTTTGGGAAAGTCAGCCAGCCAGTGCCATTTGGTCATTAGCTATTGCATTCATTCCTTGCAGCCTTAATAAGTGAGCATCGCTGTCACCACTTACCAATAAGAGAAAATAGGAGTATTATGCTAAGTGAAATAAGCCAGTCAGAGAGAGACAAGTATCACATGATCTTATATATGGAATCTAATGAGCATAATAAACTGATGAACAAAATAGATCCAGAGACATGGAAGCAAGGAGCAGACTGACGAATCTCAGAGGGACGGGGCAGGGGGAAGGGAGGAAGAGATAAACTAAAGAACTTATGCATATATGGACATAGACAATAGTGCGGTGAATATGGGGGGAGGAGAGCGTCAACGGGGGGGGGAAAGGGGACATCTGTAATCCTTTCAACAATAAAGATAATTTTTTTAAAATAAAATTGTGTGTGCATGTCAGTATGTATACATGTGTATATATTTAACAATTAAATTATGACAATTCTCTTTTGCTAGGAAGTTTTAACAATTTGCCTGCCAAATTCAATATTTCTTTTAGAGAAAAATCATTGACTTTTTAAATTCCTGTAAAAACTTTTCTCCATGCCTTGCCAGTGTGGCTCAGTGGTCGAGCGTTGACCCATGCACCAAGAGGTTGCTGGTTCGATTCCCGGTCAGGGCACATGCCCCGGTTGTGGGCGGGCAGTCAGTGTTCTCTCTCATCAATGTTTCTCTTCCTTATCTTCCTCTATCTTTCTAATGTCAATAAAGAAAAGAAAGAAAAAAAAACACCTTGGTTTTGTTCAAAAAGGAACTGAATCTCATTATTATTCAAACTGATGCTTATCTTGGGTCATAGAGTGTGGAAATCATTTCTTCGCCCAGTGTATCGGTACTGAACACCTACTTTGCTCCAGGGCCATTTTAGCCACTGAGGTGGCAGCAGTATTCTGAACAGTGTCCCTGCCATCCCAGAGCCCACATCCTAATAGAGAGAGAGGGTGGACACATCAACAAGCATGGGTTGCGTCCGTGGTTCTGAGTTCAGTGCAGGGAAAAATGAGGGGATAAGGAGATACTGTGATGGGAGGAGTGAGTGTCATTTTAGATGGATGGTCAGGGAAGACCTCTCTCTCTTTACATGGCATTTGAGCAGAGGCCTGAGTGAAATACCGAAGCAAGCTTTGATGATAACGGAGTGATGGGCATTTCAGGCAAAGAAGAAGAATGAAAGAAGCATAAGTGCTAATGAAATGACTGTTTATATTTCTGTTTATTCTTAACCTCTGCATGTTTATTTTAAATCTGTCTTCCCTGTTAAATGTTGTTAGTTTAATATATCTAACAGGACTTGTTTATTAAGAATAACTATTTTAAAATTATATTTTGTAATCTGCATGGTCCTTGCTCATCACACTGATACATTTTATGCTTCTCCCTTACTGCAGACAATCAGAGAGTGCAGTTGACGGAAGGGTCACGTCCACACCACAGTATCAATTGCAACTCGACAAGGACTGCAGTCATCAAGGAGCTTAATTATAATCCAGACACTCACGCGTCTGCAGGGAGGATCAAGGCAGCTGGGAAGCAGGAAGCCCGCAACGCAGAGAGCAACAGAAAAAAGGAAATGGAACTTCTTGGCTCTGTTTCTAAAAGCGAATCCATTCCTGAAGTTGAAGCCCTGCTGGCAAGATTACGAGCTTTATAAATTAAACTGGTAAAAAAAAAAAAAAAAAATGATTAAGCCAAATATAAAGCCATCTCTGAGCTATAACACTTGGGGAAAAAAAAAAAAAGCTTTTTATGTAAGTTACTTTATATAATTTTAAATTATGATATCTGTTAGAAAAATAAAGCTGACTACATGATTGCTGTGCTTTTCTATGTACTTGAGGTTGTGACTTATTCAAGATTGTAATGGCTTCAATGTTTTTTGGTCACCTGGTATTCATGTGTTTTATATTTGTTGGTTAAATTATACATAATGCTTTAAAGAACAGGTAGGTGGCCATGTGTTCAGCAATGTATCCTTAAGAAAATACCATCCTTCTAAGTTAACTGTAATTTTTACTTTATTATTTCCAACATTAATGAATGTCAAATCTTCAACCTCAGGTCTTGCTACATATCTATTATTTATTTATATAGGCCCAGATTTCTCCTGAATTGGGATCTACATGATACTAGCATAGTATCAAGAACAAAGAACTGAATATAACAGAGCTATGAGGAAATGGTTGATAAACCCCCTACCATCATTGAATTCATGTTAATTAGATCTGCAGGAAAACTGTAAGACCATTCAGCACATTTCCAAAAATGATGTGATAAGAACGTATGCACTCTTGCAAAATGCACAAGATTTGTGTAAGCTGGACATATATGACATTACAGTGCTGCTGAGAGCACACCGCACCCTGCCCCCACGCACCCCTGCATTATGACTGTTTCAATTGCCACTGAAACTTCCCAAGTAACGATGTTATTTCTGTGAACAAACTTGAAACTGCAGTTTGTTTGATCCGACAATCAATAACTTCAACAAAGATCTGAAGACATGTTTCAAGGGAAGTTTTCTTATGCTGAAGTTACAATTGTACTTCATTTGGGGCATCAAATTAACTTTATTAATTCTGTATCAAAGAAAATAAACTTGTACTTGCACTAAATGAGAAAAGTCGCTCCTTTCTTTTTTTTTTTTTTTTTTTTTAATCCTCACCTGAGGACACTTTTCCATTTTTTGTACAGATAGAGTGGGAGGGAGAGAGAGGAAGGGAGAGAGAGAGAGAAACATCGACGTGAAAGGGACACATCGAGTGGCTGCCACCCGCACGACCAACCAGGGCCGGGGACAAACTGCAACCGAAGTACGTGCCCTTAGTGGGAACCGAACCCGGGTCTCTCCGGACCACAGGCCGACGCTCTAACCGCTGAGCCAAACTGGCCAGGGCAAGTCGCTCCTTTCTTTTTTGTCGTTAGCCTATCCCGTGGAGAAGCTGGAACCAGACTGGGCTGTGCGGTCTCTCTGAGCATCTGTTTTGCTTTATTACCTGCAATAAGTGAGTGACGGCTCTTACCTTCCGTTAGAAAGCAGTTATATGGAACGAGTCTGCGAGGTCCGCTGCTTTTTATTGCCTTGTTTAAGTTGCCACCTCCTTTCAGCTCCAACTTAATAAAGTTAATTAATTAGAACTATGAACCAGGCCTGTTTATAGACATTGGGGAACAGTGTTATCCATAGCCAGTGTGGCAATAAATTGTTCTTGTGTGTATTGCTGAAATGTACGTTTTGCCCTCCCATTACACCTCCTGTTTTCCTGAACACAACTCTTAAAACTCAAGAAAAGAGATTTCCACATGTAGGCAGACAGGAACCTTAACAGGGAGGAGAGAAGTTAAATGAAAGAAGTCTGATGATCCGTTCTTAACATGAATGTGCAAAGACGAGGGCTTTTCAGAAACACAACCGAAATTCAACCAGGTAGTTTGGGCACACCAGGTGGGAGGTAAACACCAGGTTGGAGCTGAAGAGTGGCCATCAGGGAGAAGCAGCCATCAGGGAGAAGCAGCCTGGCGAATAAGAGAAAGTGAAGATGGCAGACCCCCCGGGTGCAGGCAGGGAAGTCACCGATCAGAGCGGTCAGCGTCCAGAGCATCTGTCTGCAGGACCTGAAGGACAGCTTTCTAGCAGGAGGGCCTGGGGCCAGCGCAGCGGCTGCCCCCTGCAGGTCGGGGCCCACATCTCCCCCTGACTCGCTGGCGGGAGCTGTTCTGAGTGGCCTGAATGGGAAGACTAGACAGGAAGAGCAAACACAAGCACTGACAGGTGAGTGCCAACTAAAAAGCCTATCATTTTCTGTCATTTCCTTGATAATGTCTGTTCAACAAGGGGATAGAAGGATAGAATTAGGCTTTTTAAATTAGTAATATTCCTTTAGCCAACTAGAAATTAAAACTATATTAATGACCTTTAACTTGAGGGCAAATAGGTACAATTTGTGTTTCTGAGCAAACAGTTTGCTCATTTGCTTTAGCAGATAAAAGGCCACCTCAAAGCATCGGACAGAGCTCAGCGCCCTTGTGAAGACGTTCTACCCAGGCTGGTGACAAACCCCCACCAGGCCCCCCTCTTTCTCTCAGGCCGCTGTAGAGAATTTGGCAAAAACGCAGAGACAACTAAGTGATCTCTGAGCTGTCCCAGAGCAAAGACCTGCAGCTAACAAGTTTTCCCAATCTGTGTAATTTAAAAATAAGGGAAACAGAGACTTCTAGTCACGATGGTGGAGCAGGAAATGCTGGACGCCTCTTCTCACAACCACATCAGAATTACAACCAAATTATAGAACAACCATTGAGGACCACCTGCACACTAGCTGAACAGAATTCCTAGAACTAAGGACATAAAGAAGTCCTACAGAGACTGGTGGGAGGGGTGGAGCGGAGGAGCAGGTTGGTCCCACACCCACAGTGTAGTGACTAAGAATCAGTAGGTGACTATTTGGTACAAAAAATCAGGGGTATCGGCTATGGACGTCCCGCTTAAGGAGCAAGGGGTGCCAGCCTCAAACTTGGCTCCATAGCCTGGGGCATCAGTTCCGAGAAGAGGAGCCCCTATACTGACTGGCTGTGAAAACCAGCAGGGACTGTCCCAGTAAGACAATGTCCTGCCAGGGCCCTGGGCACTGCGGGGCTGATGGGCCCAAGCATAGACTCCTTCACTCATGAACTCTCCCTCTGATCTCCAGCACGGGGGCTGCATCTTGAAAAGCACCAGGAACACACTGGGAGGAACGGGATTTTTTCGTTTCAGGTGAGGGCTGGACGGTCAGGGGTCAGGTCAACTCTCCAGGACAGAACTGCTGGCAGACACTGATCCTCTTGAACACTGCTTGCCTCGCCATTGTGATCCCCACACCCCACCTCACCCAATTTGCCCACCTAGCTCAGACTTCTTTCAGTGAATTTCCACACAAGTGGCCAGACTCAGCTGGTGCTGCAGACTTTCATAAATTTTCTCAAAGGTCCATAAACCCCAAACAAGCAGCAGCTGGCCTTGGCATGCCTTGTACCACTTGCTAAGTGGCCCCAAGCCGGCCACTAGTGTGGCCAGTCTAGGTTTGCAGCATAGCCTTTCCTAGGTGCCTCTTAAGCCAGTATAGCTGGCAACCAACTGCAGCCACTTTGTGACTGCTACAGGGTGACCCTGGGACAGGCAACACAGCAGCTGAACTTGTCCTTCCAAGGAGCCCTCCTCAGAAGCCCCGAACTAACATACCCAGTGGCCAGCTTCAGACCATACCAGAGCAACAAACAACCAGCACCACAAACACACCCAATGGGCAGACCTGGCAGGCTCCATTGCCTTGTTAAAGGAATTCCCACTCCTTGGGATGAGTCCCCACACAATAGTATTTCCACTGCCTGACCAGTGTGGCTCACTGGATTGAGCATCATCCCATGGACTGAGAGGTCTCAGTTTGATTCCTGGTCAGGACACATGCCTGGGCTGGGGCTTGATCCTTGGTCAGGGGCATGCAGAAGGCAGCCCATCGATATTTCTCTCTCATATCGATGTTTCTATTTCTCTCTCCTTTCGTCTCTCTCACTAAAAAAATCAATTAAAACATTTTACAAGGATTGTAGTCACTGCCAGCCCTTACAGCCAGTCAGCCTGAGTGTTAATCCCACCCACTGACATTCCAACAGCAATCAAAGCTCAACTACAACAGAAGGGCACCTACACCTGGCATAGGAGACACTCCTGGAGCACCTGGCTCAGGTGACCATGGAGACTGCACCAGTGGGCCCCCACAGGACACCTTCGCCATAAGGCACTCTGCCAAGACTGGAAGGCATAAATCTACCTAATACCCAGAAACAGACACGGGGAGTCATCCCGAATGAGAAGAAAACAAAAATAAAAACATGTTCCAAATGAAAAAGTAGGAACAAAACTCCAGAAAATGAACTAAACAAAATGGAGAAAAGTATTCTACTAGATACAGATTTCAAAACATTGGTTATAAAGATGCTCAATGAACTTAGGGAAAAAATGGATGAACTCAATGAGAACTTCAACAAATAGAAACTATGAAAAAGAATTTGTCAGAAATGAAAAAAATATATAATAACTGAAATGAAGAATACATTACAGGAATTAACAACACATTAGATGAAGCAGAGAATCAAATCAGTAATCTGGGAGTCAAGGTAGTGGTAAATAGCCAATCTGAACAGCAAAAGGAATAAAATAAAATGGGGATAGTTTAGGGTACCTAAACATAACATTGACAATGTGGTGATACCAGAAGGAGAAGAGGAAAGCAAGGGTTTGAAACCCTATTTGAAAAAAATAATGTCTGAAAACTTCCCTAACCTGGTAAATGAAATAGATATACAAGTCTAGGAAGTACAGAGAGTCCCAAACAAGATGCACCTAAAGAGGCCCCTACAAACACACACCATAATTAAGATGCCAAAGGTTAAAAGAGAGAATATTAAAAGTAGCAAACGGAAAGCAGTTAGTTACCTACATGGGAGCTCCCATAACTGTCAGTTAATTTCTCAGCAGAAACTTTGCAGGCCAGAAGGGATTTATAAGTCATATTCAGCTGATAAAAAGCAAGGACCTACAACCAAGATTACTCTACCCAGCAAGGCTATCATATAGAATTGAAGTAGAGATAAAGAGTTTCCCAGACAAGAAGTGTCTAAAGGAGTTTGTCATCATCAAACCAGTATTATAAGACATGTTAAAAGGACTTAAGAA